TAATATTTGACAAGGGAGCCAAGAACACTTGATGGGGAAAAGATGATGGTCTCTTCAGTAATTGGAGTTGGGAAAACTGGATGGTCACATGCAAAAAGGACGAGGTTAAATACCTATCTTCTTTTTTTTTTTTTATGTCAAACAACCCTTTATTTTATTTCTCTAGTACATTAATTCAAAAAAGGAGGGGCTTGCCCAGTATAAATAAGCATTTTAGTCTTAACAATAGGCACATTTTCTATTAGATTTCTTTTTTTTAATTTCTTTTCAGCATAACAGAATTCATTGTTTATGCACCACACCCAATGCTCCATGCAATACGTGCCCTCTCTAATACCCACCACCTGGTTCCCCCAACCTACCAACCCCGCCCCTTCAAAGCCCTCAGAGTGTTTTTCAGAGTCCATAGTCTCTCATGGTTCATCTTCCCTTCCAATTTCCCTCAACTCCCTTCTCCTCTCCACCTCCCCATGTCCTCCATGTTATTTGTTATGCTCCACCAATAAGTGAAACCATATGATAATTGACTCTCTCTGCTTGACATATTTTACCCAGCATAATCTCTTCCAGTCCCATCCATGTTGCTACAAAAGTTGGGTATTCATTCTTTCTGATGGAGGCATAATACTCCATTGTATATATGGACCACATCTTCCTTATCCATTTGTCCGTTGAAGGGCATCTTGGTTCTTTCCACAGTTTGGCGACCGTGGCCATTGCTGCTATAAACATTGGGGTGCAGATGGCCCTTCTTTTCACTACATCTGTATCTTTGGGTTAAATACCCAGTACTGCAATTGCAGGGTCATAAGGAAGCTCTATTTTTAATTTCTTAAGGAATCTCCACACTGTTCTCCAAAGTGGCTGAACTGATTTGCATTCCCACCAACAGTGTAAGAGGGTTCCCCTTTCTCCACATCCTCTCCAACACATTAAATACCTATCTTATACCACTCACAAAAATTAACTTGAACTGGATTAAAGACTTAAATGCAAGACATTAAACCATAGAAATCCTAGAAGAAAGTGCAGGGAAAAGTCTCTTTCAATCAATTGGGCTTACCTCTGACTAAAGGATATGTTGTACTAACCCTGAAAGGCACTCTTGGATACTTTTTACTGTTTAGAAATATGCTGTTTATGAATTGTTGGGGGAAAGGCTGCCTGCAGGTGTGTCTCAGAGGAGAAATGATTATCTTCATTTTTACATATTGGATTGGTTTCTCATTTGAGCCCTTGCCCTAATACAAAGGTTGACAATTACTGAAGTGTAGTGAAAAGAACATGAAACTGGGTGATTCAAACCCTGGCCTCATCTTTGCTCGACTCCTTTTCCCCTGAGCCACTGTTTGTTCTAGAAGGATGGGGATAATCATACTGATCTACCTTATGAGATTTTGTAAAACTTATAGATAAATGAGTCCCTAGCTCACATAGATAGGCACATAGTAAGCACTAATGAATAGCATTTTTAAAAATTGCAACAGCACCAAGTATGTGCCTGTTTGTTTATTAAGAAGTCAGGAAGGGCTCCTGGGTGGCTCAGGTGGTTAAGCATCTGCCTTCAGCTCAGGTCATAGTCTCCAGGTCCTGGGATGGATCCCTGAGTTGGACTCCCAGCTTTTCCCTCTCCCTCTGCCTTTCTCCCTGCTTGTGCTATCTCTGTCTCTCTCTCTTTCTCAAATAAATAAATAACTCTTAAAAAAAAAAGAAGTGAGGAAGCAGTTCTAGACACATACCATTGGCTAGGAATTTAGTGGATGTTGTATATTTCTATCATGGACATCTATCCTGCTAACTGCCCAATTAGTCAAGTTTGCAAATTAGAAATGCTATAGATGAGATTTTTTAAAAACTTGTACACCTGGATATCAACCTTTTGTCTGTACTGTCATTTGCAAATATCTTCTCCCATTCTGTGGGTTACCTCTTTGTTTTCTTGACTGTTTCCTTTGCTGTGCAGAAGCTTTTGATCTTGATGAAGTCCCAAAAGTTTATTTTCGCTTTTGTTTCCTTTGCCTTTGGAGACAAATCTGGAAAGAAGTTGCTGTGGCTGATGTCGAAGAGATGACTGCCTATGTTCTCCTCTAGGATTCTGATGGATTCCTGTCTCACGTTGAGGTCTTTTATCCATTTTGAGTTTATCCTTGTGTACGGTGTAAGAGAATGGTCGAGTTTCATTCTTCTACATATAGCTGTCCAGTTTTCCCAGCACCATTTATTGAAGAGACTTTTTTCCACTGTATATTTTTTCCTGTTATGTCGAAGATTATTTGACCATAGAGTTGAGGGTCCATATCTGGGCTCTCTACTCTGTTCCACTGGTCTATGTGTCTGTTTTTATGCCAGTACCATGCTGTCTTGGTGATCACAGCTTTGTAGTAAAGCTTGAAATCAGGTAACGTGATGCCCCCAGTTTTATTTTTGTTTTTCAACATTTCCATAGCGATTTGGGGTCTCTTCTGATTCCATACAAGTTTTAGGATTATTTGCTCCAGCTCTTTGAAAAATACCGGTTGAATTTTGATCAGAATGGCATTAAAAGTATAGATTGCTCAAACTCAACACACACAAAACAGATAATCATATCAAAAAATGGGCAGAAGATATGAACAGACACTTCTCCAACGAAGACATACAAATGGCTATCAGACACGTGAAAAAATGTTTGTCATCACTAGCCATCAGGGAGATTCAAATTAAAACCACATTGAGATACCACCTTACACCAGTTAGAATGGCCAAAATTAGCAAGACAGGAAACAACATGTGTTGGAGGGGATGTGGAGAAAGGGGAACACTCTTATACTGTTGGTGGGAATGCAAGTTGGTGCAGCCACTTTGGAGAACAGTGTGGAGATTCCTCAAGAAATTAAAAATAGAACTTTCCTATGACCCTGCCATTGCACTACTGCGTATTTAACCCAAAGATACAGATGTAGTGAAAAGAAGGGCCATCTGCACCCCAATGTTTATAGCAGCAATGGCCACGGTCGCCAAACTGTGGAAAGAACCAAGATGCCCTTCATCGGACAAATGGATAAGGAAGATGTGGTCCATATACACTATGGAGTATTAGGCCTCCATCAGAAAGGATGAATACCCAACTTTTGTAGCAACATGGACGGGACTGGAAGAGATTATGCTGAGTGAAATAAGTCAAGCAGAGAGAGTCAATTATCATATGGTTTCACTTATTTGTGGAGCATAACAAATAGCATGGAGGACAAGGGGAGTTAGAGAGGAGAAGGGAGTTGAGGGAAATTGGAAGGGGAGGTGAACCATGAGAGACTATGGACTCTGAAAAACAATCTGAGGGTTTTGAAGGGGCGGGGGGTGGGAGGTTGGGGGAACCAGGTGGTGGGTATTGGAGAGGTCATGGATTGCATGGAGCACTGGGTGTGGTGCAAAAACAATGAATACTGTTATGCTGAAAATAAATTTAAAAAAATTTGTTACAAAATAGTAAATAGCTTTCTTTTCAAATAAAAATCAGTTATAATGATAATCATCCATTATCCAGTGGTATTATTGGTCAGCACCATTATTAGGTACTTGATACACAGTATTTCACTTAATTTTCTTTTTTTTTTAATATATTTTTTTCTTTTTTTATTTATTTTTTCCCCAGGGGTACAGGTCTGTGAATCTCCAGGTTTACACACTTCACAGCACTCACCATAGCCACTTAATTTTCTTTTATACCCTCCAAATAGTTACTTATTATTCACCCATATAATAGTTGCACAGACTAGGCTTAGAGAGCTTTATTAAATTTCCAGAGGCTATCCAGTTAGGAACTGGCAGAGCCAAGTAATGGACCCATCTCTGTCCATGATCAGAGTCTGCTTTTTCCTTCCATTAACTTGTGGCCCAGAATAATGGTGCATCCTCAGGCAGGAGCTTACCTGATGTTCTATTCACAATCCCTAGTGGTCATTATAGAGTCTTCTGAAGTTGTCCTATTTCCAATTCTTCACCAAAACTCTATCGTTTTTCCCTAATCTCTGCCCACCTTTCTGGGGAACATACAATGTCTTTGCTTTAATGAGTTTGGATGAGCTACAACTTTGAAAGGGCAGGAGAAACCTACTTTGGAGCCTGAAGATGATTCATAATTCCGAAGTAAATAGTGCTGCCTTGTCCCCAGACACTGTGTACCCTGTTAGGAAACAGGCCTGTGGTGCAAAGAACAGTCACTGGTTTTTAAGGTCAGGCTTTGTTTTTTCATTTGTTTTTATTGTTAAGAACACAGCTCATTCTTAGAGAATTTTCAAAAAGATCATTTGAACTAATGACTCTCAAACTATACTATGTCCCCTGGGAGCTTATTGGAATAGATGCCTTGGCTTTCCCTCCCCAAAAGATTCAGGATCTATGGGGCAGGGTCCAAAACATGTACTTTAACCAGCTCCCTATAGTTCTATTGTGTCCTAGTGGAAATGCTGCATAAGTGGATCTTATACCTAGTCTGCATTTAAATACCTTTATAGTTTCCTAAGGTCAGAAATATCAAATCCAGCAAGTGCATGCCCACAAAAAAGGGTCTCAAACTCATGGTCCACAAATTAGATCTACTTTATCCCACAGATATAATTATGTTAGTTGACACAGTACAAAACATGATATTACTTTATTTGTACTTGGATGCCTTTGTTTAGAAAGAGGATGCCTTCTTCAGTTGTCTTGGCTCTCACCCCCTTATTGTCCATACTTGCTACTTTACCCATTTATGTTACCTGCTGGGTCCCTGCAGTTAAGTGAATTTCCACCCTGAGTAAATAATTGGAGATATAGGGGAGCAGAAAGGCCAAGTGATTTCCAAAGTGAGAACAAAGTTTGGTGTGCAGGTGAGCTGAGAGCTTGTATCATTGCTTAACCAAACTGCATGAATGTTTCCTATATCATGAAATAGAGCTTTCCTCTTTCAAATAACTTATGAAATCCCCTGTAGTCTGGGTGGCTGCAGCTCACAGACTCTGTATCTGTCTCTCTCTGCTAATGCTCCTTCTTCCTCTTTTTTACATTTGCTCTGCTGGAGACAAATATTTCATGCCTGTATTCTAGTGGTCAGCCCATCCCTCAAGTGCAATACACGGAAGAAGAAAAGAAAACATGGGGGATGGTATTCAGGACCCTGAAGTCCTTGTATAAAACCCATGCTTGCTATGAGCACAATCACATCTTCCCACTTCTGGAAAAGTACTGTGGCTTCCGTGAAGATAACATTCCACAGCTGGAAGAGGTTTCTCAATTTCTTCAGAGTAAGTCCACTTTAGGGACAAAAGGGGAGGAAGGGGAGGGAAGGGATTGGGAAGAAAGTAAATCGAGGCCAGTGTGAGTGTGTTTGTGGTAATGCATGCAGGTTAACTATTGGAGAAACATTTTTCTGCTGTGTTCTGCCTCACTGCTAGCTTCTACGTTCGTCCACTCTCATCCAATACAAGGCATCATGTGTGGGTTTTGCCATATCCACGCCTCTGAAAAGCACTTTTTCCCATACTCAAAGCCCCAGGTTCCCAGACAGGGCTCTCCTTGTAGTTCCTGCTGTGTTATGAGATCTGCAATGTGCATTTGTGTAAGAAATGTGCTCTTTGTGGCAATGCCAAGAGCCCTTAACTCTAAGTCTGTGCATCCAACTGGTATGGATCTTGCTTTGGCCCTCTCTATTTGGGGTAACCTGCCTCAGTTTAGTCATCTGTCAAATGGAGACTGTCTCTTAGGGAAGTTATGGGAATGAAATAAGACATTGCAAATTAAATCATCCAGCATGGTGCTACTATATACAATAAGTGCTCAGTGAATTTGGGCTGAACTGGAATCTGAGTAACTCTGTGGGGAAATACATTATTGGGATGACTAGTCTCTGCACACCATTTCCAAGTGAGATAAGTATATTCTTTTCTGCCAGGAGGCATTAATTCAGCAAAACTGAAATAAGACTATCAGCTAATGCACATTGGACATCTAGTATGTGTCAGGTAGAACTAGAGAAAGTAGGAAGACAGACCACAGCTTTACAGAAATGAAGAATCTTCTATTCCTCTGAGCTATGTGGAGATGGTATGGTTGACTCTGGGGCAAGGGGCAGAGGAAATTATGTGGCAGGGAGAAAAGGGGCAGCTGGGATAGATTGGGGATGGGCTGGATGACGTTTCAGGTCCCTTCTATTTGGACAGTCTCTACCTATCAGATAAAGAGGGGAATGAGAGGCCAAGCAGAGTCAGTTTTAGCCTGAAGGTCCAGGGAACATGGCACAGGGGCAAGGAGGTCCTAAAGACATTCTCTGGCCAATTATCCATGTTTCCATGGCCAATAGTGAGATAATAAAATAGTAATAATAGCAGCTGGGGAGTTATAGAGAAGTAACTAAGGAACAGACTTTGAAGCCAGACTGACTGTAGCTGTGACCTTGGACAAGATCTTTAACTCTTTGTTCTCAACTTTCCCATCTGTAAAGCAGAAATGATATGAACATCTACTTCATAGGGTTATTAGGAGAACTAGTTAGTATTTATAAAGTGTCTAGAACATATGGAGTCTGACATATGGTGGGCAGTATATAGTGTTAGCTACCATCATCATCATCACCATTATCACTGTGATTATTATTCTCCTTCCAAGTTTGAAACAAACTGAGAGCCTGATATAGGAATCAGAGAGAGGATCAAAATATCAACTTTATTACTGATAAAACTACTTAGAGAATGTGGTATGAATGTACAAACAAAATGGATTTTCTAGTATTTCACCTCTGAATTATGTAACCTTTTCAGAATATACATTGGTGAAGTGTATATTCTATTGCATGACCCAGAGCAGACCAGAATGTGCTCCTCTGTGGGCAGACAGTTATGAGAGAAAAGACCAAAGGGGTTAAATGGAGAATATCCATTTTCTCTTCCCAACTGCTCCAATCAGAGAAGTCCTTGCTCTTTCTGGGGTGTAGTGTGTGAAGGACAGTAGAGAAGCTAGAATTGTTCCTTTCATACTCTTTCCTTCTGGAAGTAGAATGAAAATTCCCTCCCTAGTCTAGAGACATGAGAAATAAGGAATAAATGTTTCATCCTAATAAACTATAATGAAAGGTAGATTTTTTAACTGCTCCAGTGTGCTAGGCTCTGTGATAAGTACATTATATTTATTAGTTTATTTGATTCTTGGAATAACCCTAGGAAGTATCTATCCACATTTTGCAGAGGAGGAAATGAGACTCAGAGAAATGAAGTTACTTGACCCAAATTGCCCAACTATATAGGTGCAGAGATGTGAACCCAAGTCTACTTGACATCAATATCCCTGCTGCTAGACAGTTGGGAGTATTGCTTTCCTACCTAAAGGTCTTCAGGTGCCTCTGGCTCTGCCATGATAGGCTTTGAGTTTTCTTTCTCTGCTTTGCAGGTTGCACTGGATTCCGCCTCCGACCTGTGGCTGGCCTGCTTTCCTCCCGGGATTTCTTGGGTGGCCTGGCCTTCCGAGTCTTCCACTGCACTCAGTACATCAGACATGGGTCCAAACCCATGTATACACCTGAACCGTGAGTGTTCTGCTCCTGCTGATAGTATCCAACCACAGTGAGTGCTATTTCTCACTGCTCCAGGATGAGGTTTGGGTTCATCAAGGGCTGATCCACAGATCGTTTTCTGGATGGTTTGATGTTAGCACAAAGAGACAGATCATCTCTCTTGGGTATTTTCTCTGTCCAATAGACCATACTGATTGGAGATTTGGGCATCTTGTGAACCACACATTCAGATCTCCCTGGGTCATGGGAATAAGAAGTCACAGTCGAGCTCCAAAGGGATTTTAAGAGTCAAAACTATGATGTCCCCAATGAGAACAGGAACAAGTGGTGGCCAAAGTATCTTAATACTTCCAGAATATACATCTAAACGATTCTAATATTTTTATGTCTAGATGTGTCTTGTCTAAAGGTAGAGAATGGCTGGCCACCATGTCCCTTATGTTGGCATTTAGCCATCTTAATCAAATAGAACTTACTCAATTTATACAAAAAGTTAGCAGCCTGTCCACAAAGTTTATAACTACAAATCAGAAAAGACCTATTCCTCATGAACCTGACACATAATGTATTAAATAAATGTAAATTTTCTTCTCTGAATGACTGTTGCCCCCCCTTTAAAATAAGAAAACAATAGCACTATTTTTAATTTAATTTTTGTTTCTTATGGGGAATAACTGAACACATTTCATCTGCTCAAGATGCCCAGGATGTGAATACCAAGATGAAGACTTGGGATAGGAAGTGCTCATGACCCACAACATGCTCAGGTGTATAGGAGAAAGTCCAAAGGAATATTGGCTCTACTGTTCTGCTTCTGTACTGAGTGTACACCTAAGACCCTCTGGCTGTTGTTCTCTGACTTGCCCCCTACTTTTCTTTCCTTCCTCCTTTTCTTTTATACCTTGCCTCATCTGTTCCCAAGCTTTACATACCACTTATTGTTGGGAATGAGGTCTTAAACTGTAATGGCTCACTTCCTTTCTACTTGTCCACTTCTCACGTAGAAAAACTGAGTCTCACTTGGCTTATAACCCTCTTTACCTCCAAGCTCTGTGCTTTCTCTCTTTCAGTGACATCTGCCATGAACTGTTGGGACACGTACCCTTGTTTTCAGATCGCAGCTTTGCTCAGTTTTCCCAGGTGAGGAATGGATGCTTTTGGCCTTTTAATTATAGGATTGAGACCTAGATTGCTCAAGTGAATTGAGTCTATGGAGGGGCCCTTGTGTTCTCTGCAAGAGTGGAAACCAGATACTGTGCTGTGATCCCACCAGAGATGGGCATATGGTCCCATGGAGATGGCTAAATACCCATTCCAGGGATCACAACAGGGGGGTAGTGAGCCACTCATCCTCTGAATTATATATGTGCTGTTGAATTTGCTAATCTCACCAGGTTTAGTTTAAGAGCATTTTCATCCAAGAAAGCCTGCCTGATCCCCACATAGAAGTAACCTTACCTTCTTCCAAGTTCTCCTGGCACCTTTCCCCTCCTCTTTAGGGCCTTGCCATTTCCAACCTTGTCAGGCAGTTGTTTTTGTATATGCTTTAATTAAATAAGATAATATTTGCTGAGAATCCAATTCCAATAGCCCAGCTCCTAGTTGGCAAGAACTGATGTGTCAAATGTTTTGCCATTATCATCAAAGCAACAAACTAAGCCTTGATTCCTCTATCACAGTGGTGAGCTTTTTACATGAGAGAAAGAATCCTAGTAACCCCTTCAGAGCACTGAGAGGCTAAGCCATGTTTGGGTAGCTGGGATCATGGGAAAGTTGATACATCCCATCCTGCCATCAACCAGCTGTGTGACCTATGTGCATCAGTCTGCACAAATGAGAATCAATACAAAGCTTTGACTGCCAATAATCTTCCTCATAGGGAAGAATAAATATCAAATGGAATGAGTCATAAACAAATACTGCACCAAACGTGAATTTCAGAGTAATGAGATTGTGTGTGAATTTTATGTCTTTTCCCTCAGCTGGAAGAAATAAATACTTTCACTGTTGATTGAAGAGGTTACCACTTAATATCTGAAACAAACAAAGAAAAAAAACTTGCTTTTATGTGGGGTTTAGGAACTGTGGTGTTTAGAGATTGTTGTGTTGGACTTTTATGAGTTGAGTCTGGATTAGCTGAACTTAACTTGTAAGTATCACCATTTGACCGAGGCTATTGTTGACTGGCTAACTTTCAGAAGCATGGTTCCTGTTGTCAATAGGTCACTGATTGCTGGGAACAACTTTAAAACTGGGGTTTCTTCCTCTGGCCAAAGAACAATCAGTGATTTCTTTAGAGAATAGGAACTTTTTATTCTCACTACCGGAAGCTATTCTGCTCAGTCAGAGGTTAAGTGACAATCCTTCTTAAACCACTTCCATTTGGGGGAGTTCCCCAGAGGAGTGGACAATTACCCGAGTCAACAGATAGATGCTACTGGGCCATAAGTGTCACATGGCTCCAACTTATACCTGGACAGTCCCAAGGGAGGTGTAATTTTGAAAGTTCCCTGAGCAAATTCTTTTTGATCTAAAAGGAGGATTTGCTTCCCACTAGAGTGCAAGAAGGGATGAGGATTAAGCATAGGGAAATCTTGGGACCCTTTTTTTAGGCAAGCTTTGGGCTCACAAAGAATGGTGACCATGAGAACAGAGCACTGTTTCAGTGGCTTCTGTTAGACTGTGGCATGTCTAGACAGGACAGATGGACAGAGATGGGGATAGGGACAAGAAAGGAGAGCCAAGCTGTCTGAATTTAGTTCACTCTACCTCAGCATTTTCTCAGCATGCAGTATGGGCCAGGCTCTGAGCTTGGCCCAGAGATGAAGACCATGTGGCCTCTTGCTTTAAAGTAAGCCCAATCCTTAGTCCTTCTATGTCTACCTCAATTCTTTTGGTTATCTCACCCAGACTCACTGTGTTAAATATCTCTGTCCTGATGACGAGCACATTTGTAACTTCAGTCCAGAACTTCAATCCCCAAACTCAGACTTATGTATCCAAGAACCTCTTCAATTTCTCCACTTGGGTGTCTATTAGACATCTATATTCATCCTTTCCAAAACTGAATTCCTGATCTTCTTGTCCAAACCTTCTCCAACCACAGCCTTCCCTGTGTTAGTTCATGATAACTCTATCCTTTCAGTTGCTCAAACCAAAAGCACTTAGGGGACATTATTAGCTTCTTTCTCTCTCAAATACCCATAACTAATCTTTCTGAAAGTTGTATGTATTTTGCCTTCAAAATATGTGTAAAATCTGACCATTGTTGATTATTTCCACTGCTGTCAAGCTGGTCTCGGCCATAATTGTTTCTCACCCTGGGGACTGTGGTAGCTTCTTAAGGGTCTGTCTCTACTCTCGACCCCCTACAATCTGTTCTCACATAGCAGCCAGAGTAAATCTTGGATGACATAAATCAGATCTTACTGCTTTTTTGCTCAAAACCTTGCAGTGACTACAATTTCACTGAAAATAAAATCCTAAACTCTAAAATGCCAAAAGAGTTTTATATGACTGAGCCCCAGATCCCTCTTTGATACCACCTGCCTCTCTCCCCACCCTTATTCTGTTCTAGCCATACTGGTCCCTCCCTGTTAATTGAACCTACTGACATTTCTCCTCCTTAGAGAGCATTTTCATGGGCTATACATGTGATCTATACAATGCTTTTCCCTCACGTGTCAGCAGAGCCAACAACCTCACTTCCGTCAAGTTTTTGTTCAAATATCACCTTCTCAGTGATGTTTGCTCTGAAGCTATTTTTAAAATTGCAACCTCTCTGTGTTCTCCTGGCATTTCCACTCACCCTTGTCCCTTTCTTCTTTTGTTTCTTCTTTTCAAATAACATATTCTTTCTAATATACCTATGTATATGCTTATTATTTATTGTCTGCCTTTAATGTAAACACCATGAGGTCTAGGATCTCTTTTGATTCTGTACACTGCCAACCACATAGAAGACATTCAGTAAACATTTTGGAATGAATAAATGCATATAGTAGGGAAAGCAAATATATTTATTTGTGTATATATACTCTGTCTGATACAAAGCAAGCTGGAGCAAATGTTATAAAAGAGACAAAGACAAAGAGACCACTAGGGGAATCCTGTAATTGGAGCTGGAATGAGAAGTGATCCATAGCATTTCAGACTCTCTAGCTGGTATTTACCTGCGTGGATGCCAAGCATTTCTCTGTAATTCTCCTGTGGTGTCTTGAGGATACTTGATTAAGACACTCATCTTGTATTCCATGAATGTTCTGCTTGAGCTGTGGGAGAATAACCACTGAGTTGGAATCAAGCAATGAAGATTTAGACATAACCTACTGTGTGACCTTGAGTAGGTCACCTCCCTTCTCTGTGCCTCACTTTCCTCATTTGTAAAGTAAATATAAAGGACCAATTGACGAAGTAAGGTTTCCTGCTCTAGGGATCTATGATTCTTTGATGTGTGGCTAGACAAGACTTAACAGAATAATCAGGGTCTATCTGGGCCCTTCTGAAGGCTTCTGGTCACCCATCACCTTCCTGTGCTGTAGTGCAAGGTGGGAGCTGAGGGTGAAGTTTTAAGTTATGCAGACCCCAGCCATGCCAGTGACTCTGTTTCTCTACAATTACAGGAAATTGGCCTTGCCTCTCTGGGTGCCCCTGATGAGTACATTGAGAAACTTGCCACAGTAAGTTCCTTCTGCCTATGGTGGATAGTGAGAGCGCTATAGGCTAGAGCCCTCAGGTCTTCAAAGCTTCAATCCCCCCCTGAAAGCCAGGTCATTTGGGGGGAAATATCAGAATGTGCTGACTTACATTCACACAAGTAAAATTTCACATTTTGATTTTTTCTTAATGGTCTGATTTTGATATCAGCTGCATGCAAATGTTTACATGTAATTTTAAACAAAGTATCTTAAACACGGATGGGCTATAATGATAGCTCTTGAGAATCTTTGGGCATAAAGTGTGCGTGTGGTAGAGGAATAGCCTGGATTCATAGCTTTGAAGAGGAAATATTTACACCCCTCTTTTGCCCTGGAGCCAGCATTTGGATCTTTCCTTTATTAGACACAGGTGGAAATGGTGGTGGGCTTTCCTTGTCTTATCAAACACTTCCCTCTCTCCAGTGAATGTGATGACAGTCATGGATTGAAGCGTGGAATCAGCAACTCTGCGCAGCAGGGGGTTTTCTTCCTACAGACTCCTTTCCAACTTGAGTTTATCCCTCCCCAACATCTGAGTCACATTCCTTACAATTTGATGTGTATCAGTTTAGAAGTTATGAATTCAGTTTATCCTAAGGGCAAAAATTTCCAGAAGTTTCTTTCTCACTGAGCTGCTGCTCTGAGCCCCTGGACAAGTGGCTTTTGCTTCCTCATCTCTAAAAATGGTTACATTAGTTTATATTCTGTCCACCTAAAAAGTATATCATAACGATCTGAAGAGTTACACGTGTGTGAACATGGATTTTTAAATGTCAGATTCTATATAGATGCAAGAAGCAGCTTCTCATTTGTAGGAAGAAAACAAACTCAGAACTCAGAGCATTATGTTATCTGCTATGACAATGATAAGAGTACTTATCGCCAACCTAAATTCTCAAAAAACAAAAACAAAAACCTTACTATTGAATACTGGGCTGGGAATAGCTCTAGGCTCTTGCTCTGACTTTGATTTGCTGTGTAACTAGATGTATATTGCTTGACCTCCCTGGGCTGAAAACACCTCATCTGTACATGAGGAGGTCTATGTAGGACTAAGGTCTACGGAGGACTAAGCTTACAAACTTCACATTCTATAGTGCAATAAACAGACTTAACTAGTAAGCCATCCCTAATTCTCCAAGACCGTGACTGTCTGCAGCAGCTAACTGGACCCAAGGTTTCTCTTGGCCCTGGTCAGTAAAGTTATGCCAAAATTCCAGGATCACCTTCCACAGGCCAGGCATCTAGGACATGTTGGACTGGGAGCTGTTTAAAGAAAGGGCTTGGTTATTTGAGGAGGATAAGAGTAATTGTTGGCAGTACATCAGAACCCGCCCAGGTTTTAGCATGGATGGCAGGATGCCCTCAATGATTTTATCACTACCCAATCTCCTACCTCCCATGACTGAGCTTGATGGGATTGCATGGTAAGTCTGGCCAACTAAACGGAACATCTCATTCTACTTAATGCCACAGAAAACAAAGCAAAAGGGGTTGAGGAGTTCCTGTCATTTAGAGTTACCTGTTGGTGGTATCTTCTTGGGGCTTCCTCAGCACTCCCTCTCTGCTTCCTATCACTTCTTTCATTCAGCCAACTCTTGATTCAATCAGTGACTGGATAGAGTGAGACATAGAACACAGAGAAGTGACCCCAGGTCATGGTGATTCAGAGAAGAGACCTGTACAAACTCCCACCTGGACAGTCCTGTCCTTAGGCCTGGGGCATCTGCTACCTTTCGCTTCCTTGGGGTGTGCTCTCAACTTCACATTCCATTCCAGATTTACTGGTTTACTGTGGAGTTTGGTCTCTGCAAACAAGGAGACTCCATAAAGGCCTATGGTGCTGGGCTCCTGTCATCTTTTGGTGAATTACAGGTATGACCCCATTAATATCCATTTTGAGATTCAACCTAGGGGTTAATCCTCAAATAATTGGTACCTTAGCAGCTATGATTTGCTCATGACTTTGGATGTTAGATACAGAAATTGAACTGCAAGTACACAGGTCTACAAAACAGAGGGGCCTCCAGATCCCAGGGATGACCTATGCATATAGATGTATGTAAATCCTTATACTTGGCTCTTACATCCTCTTTTGATCATGGCTAGAGGGAACTACTCCTTTCTATCTGGACTGTAGGTTTTAAGATAGGCTATGAGGGTAGGATCTAGTGTATGGGAAATAATTTAGTTTAATGCATTTGGTGGAGGGTGTAGAAGGAGTCAGGATGCGATAGGAGAAGGTACACAAATAGCCAATGGAGGCAACAAGAACAACTGACCCAGACTTACCTATGAAAACTTTCCCCTTTCTACCTGCAGTACTGTTTGTCTGGCAAGCCAAAACTCCTCCCCCTGGAGTTGGAGAAGACAGCCACCCAGGAGTACACTGTCACAGAGTTCCAGCCCCTCTACTATGTGGCTGAGAGTTTTAATGATGCAAAGGAGAAAGTGAGGTGAGGTGGTGACCAAGGTGGGTCAGAAGAACTTGGGGTCTCCTCATTTGGTCTGGTGCCATTGATCTGTGGGTGGTTGTCCAGGAGAATGGACTCCAATGCTTATAATAAGAGTGTGCAGCAGACAGAGCCTCCCCACCCTTGTTCCTTTTCACTTTCTATTTGGGAGGGGTTCCTTAGTGGGACACGATTTCACAGATTATTGTCTGGACATGTTGACCTATGCAGACAATTCTGCCACTGGATCCTTGTTTTAATGCAGCCACTAAGTCCAGGCACTGAACTCCCCTGTATACGGCCCCAACAAATCACTCCTAGGATTCTCCTAACCTGGGGGAGTCACTTTATTGTTCCAATACCTGCATAATTCACCCCCTCAACTTCTTCAAATCTTCGCTCTCATTTAACCTTCTCAGTGTGTCTTTCTCTAACTGACTTACTTATAATCCCTACCCATCCCCATCCCCACACTCCTTGCCCTCTTCTGCAGTATATTTTTCCCCTTAGCACCTGCTAATGTTAGATATATTACATGATTTAAGATTGATTTGGGTAGGAATTTTTGTCCTTTCTGTTTTCCTGTTCTTTCCTCAGTCTTTGGAACAGTGTCTGATACATAATGATCATGCAATAAGTTAATAGGCAAACACTTCAATTGCAGAGGCAGTCTAGCAAAAGGCTGATAGAGATGGAAAGCTAGCAAGACTCAGATTCTCAGCCCTCTCAGCTGACAGACCTATCTATAATCTGCTCGAGTGACTCTCCTCCCAGCAAGAGACAGGCCAGGCAGAGGCTCCACCTAGACATGGCTATCCTGATAGTCGGTGTTTCTTTTGTTTTATATCTTATCCATGAGGGATGATAGACATAGATATACAGGTTTCTGGGATCCCATAAAGCTGGGTATGCCAGCTTCCCCTGCATTGGGTTTAGGTGATGGAAGGTAACATTCTTGTCCATAAGTCCACATGGTTTGGCCCAAGATGTCTCCTTTCCTCCTATCTCCCCAGGGCCTTCAAGTTATTTCAGTTATTCATTTCTAATTATTTCCTAAATCTCCATCCCCTGCTGGGAGCATAGCCTTCCTCTAGCCCCTAAGGGTTCTTCTCTGCCATTTCTGGGACCCTTTGGGGATTATGTATTTCAGTGGTTTTGTGCATTACCCCACCTGGGTGGTAAGAAGAAGAAGAAGAAGAATAGTAGCAGCAGCAAGTTAAATACCTAGCACTTACTATGTACTAAACACTGTTCTAAGTGTTTTTCATGTATTGATTCATTTACTCTTCAGATAAGACTATGAAGTTTGCAGGTGGGGTCAGAAGCATAGAAGGGGTAAGAGACTCACCCAGGGTTATAAAGCTGGTAAGGGGCTGACCCAGGGTTTGGACCCAGGAAGTGGGGCTCAGAGACAGTACTCATAACCTCTCTATCAAACCAAGGTCTGACCTCCTGGTGATGACTTTCTTACCCAGGAAGTGATCAGTCCCAGACCAACAGAGAAGAGCTTGCCAGAACCTAGATTTCTTGGGCCTTAGAAATCCCACCCACTCTGTCAGTGCCCACAGCCCAGAGGAGACTACCACACAAACCCCATCCCGCTGAGTGGTTAACTCACAGAGTCAAAGGGAATGCTGAAAAACAGGGTTCAGAAAAGGAAGGGATTCTCTCAAAGACTCCCAGCTAAGAGAAACCACTTTTAACCATTTTCAGTTTCAAAATTCAAGTTCTAGGTAGAAAGAAACACACTGAGAGTGATTGTGTGCCCCCTCCTTATCTGGAGGAGAGGTGGGCCCTGAGACTGACTGCCTAGGTGGAAGCACTTCTAATGGTATAGAAGCAGATTTTCCAAAGTAAAGATGAGGCAAACTATGGGAATAAGAGGGAAGAGGCTCAGAGTGGGCCAAATCACAGACATGCATTACAAGCTTCATGTCACCAGTGGGATTGAGAAAGCTCTTTTCAGAGAAGCAGCGGTAGAGAGACATACTTAACCATTTGTTCTTCTGGAGTCCCCAGTCACTAATGAAAGAGAACAGCTAACACTCATATAGGATTTACTCTATACTATAAGAGCACTTGCCATGACCCTCTCAGGTAGTACTGTTCTTGTTCCACATTTATAGAGGAATGAGAACACCAAGGTGCAGCCCATAAGGGCTGTCATTGGCAGAAGCAAGGTTTGAGCCCAGTGTCTTGTTCTAGAACTTGGGTTTCCATCCACTATGATCCACCACTCTTGGCAAACTTGGAGAGAGCCCACTAGTTTCCTTTACAGTTGTCTTCTCAGTATGGTAGCTTTGACTCTTGCCAGAAACCAAATTAGAAATATCATTTCTGATGCCATTGCATTTTATAGGCTATTTGGGGGTATCTTACTAGTTGCATTGCTTGATGTCCCTCATAAGGCCCTCCTGGTACATTCCTACAAGACCCAGATGTAATGAATGCATCAAGAAAGCAAATAAGTGAAGAGCACAGGCCAGAGTCAGACTTCCTGGGTCCATTTTCAGTTGCACAATTTATTGCCAGTATGATTTGGTAGTCATTGAATCTCCCCAAGCTTTAGTTTTCTCATCAGTGAAATAGGGATAGTAATAGTACCTTCTTCTATGATTTGTATGAAGATTAAATTAGGGATGATAGTTGTAAAGAGAATAGCACAATTAGGACTTCACAGAGTTCTTGGTACATAAATGGCACTCAATTCATGTTAAATTTCAATTATAACATAGTGTTTTCTTCCATTCTTGAGAGCTGTGTTTCCCTCCTTGCATTGATTTTCAAGCATCTCAGAGCTTATTTCTTTCTATAGCATTCTTTGTTTAGATTTACTTGCTTTTTTGATTTTATTTAATGGTAAGAATTTTGGCTTTAATGTCTTCTGTGCTTTTATTTTGATATCTCTTTTTTGGAAGCAGATAACTAAATAAATATGTACCAAAGTGTGTTTGTATATACACCTAGACACATACACAGCACGCGAAGTCTACCCAAGAGGATCTCACTAAAATTCCATCTCTCTTTTCAGCCTCGTTTCTAAAACCCTTGGTCTAGTGAGATTGAAGTGAAATTCCACTGAGAAATCTTTTTTAGAATTATTTTCCCCTGAATTATGCCCTTTACTAAGCTCTGTGGATTTGGTTTCAGGAACTTTGCTGCTACAATCCCACGGCCCTTCTCAGTTCGTTATGACCCATACACTCAAAGGATTGAGGTCTTGGACAATACTGAGCAGCTTAAGATTTTGGCCGACTCCATCAACAGTAAGTAACTCACACCCCAGGAGGCCACTCTCTTTACCAGAAATAGAGAGTTGGATTTTTCTTACCCTCACCATTGGAACAATAGGAAATTTATCAAATATTGAATTAAGGAGAAAAGCAACTCCAGGTGAGCCATTTGTTTGTCAAGGGAGAAAAGCTTGGCAAAAAGGCCAGAATTGCTTTGAGTGTCTTTTCTTCTTTGATTTTCCTAGATTCCATGCTACTCCCAGCACCACACCAGCTCTCCACCCTGGCTTCTCCCTGTCATGTTCTTCTTTCTTCTTTGGCTCTGTACTCTCTTACCTCTAAGTGCCCAGTGGATATTGCTGTGCCTGGAACTTTAGCCCCTATAAGACGGATTCTAGCTACTTTATTGGGCATCTAGTGGCTCATCCATGGGGCTACCACTCTTCCAGGACAGTGAGGATATTATAATAGTTACTCATAAACAAAGTGGAGTGTTACATGGCTTTTCACTGGATCCTCTTTCCAGTGCTTCAAACTCCCCTCCAGCAACACCGACCAGCTTTCACTTCTCCTCCTTCCTCCTAGCTTTTGGTCTTTGCTTATGCAGGTCTTTATGTTTAAAATGCTTTAAAAAAAAATGCTCTCATGCCCATTCTCATTTAGAGGTCCCCAATTCCAGTTCATCTTTTAAGTCTTTCATAGATATATTATGGGAAGACTAGTTTGAGTGTCCTTCCTCTGTCTTGGCATTCCCACAGGTTCCTCTCTCAGAACACATATCACTATATTGTTTTGTAATTGTTTACTTGTCTCACTTCCGAACAAGACCCAAGTAGAGAACCAGGTTGGGTTCGCCGTCAAATCCCTGGTACCTAGCCCTAGTTCTAAAATGTTATATTAGGTCCTCAAGATTTATTAAATGGATGAATGAAACCACCAAATGGGTAAACAGCCTAAAGGGAGGAATTCCAGGTCAAGTGGAATTTCCTACCTTATGTAACAATAACAAAGTCCTAAAAGGCAGGTGGGCTTGAAGTATCGCTCTAATACTCCACTGAAATTGCTTGTCCATCTCCAGGGCCCCTTCCACTTCTTTGAAGTATATTTGTTCATGTGGACTCTTGGTCTATGCATGAATGGGAGCGGCTCCATTTTAGTCCAATGGTCTAGCAATCTAGGCTGATTTATCTGCTTAGACCATGCATTCTCAAACCTAGTGTACATCAGAATCATTTGGAGAGCTAGTTAAAAATGAACAATCCTGACTGATAGTCCCAGACTAAATTTACTAAAATTGTGATAAATCTTGGGACTTTGTATTTGTAATAAGTCTCTATGTGATTCTGACACAGGAGGTTCTTATGAACCACACTTTTAGGTTTCATAGCTTAAGTCCTTACAAATATCTATAGATGGTCCTGTAAAAGAAAAAGAGAGAAAATTGTTAACTCATTCCATGGAAAAAGGAAGCTAATTACATTAAAACTTGTAAGTCCCTATGCTATAACTGCCCAAATCATATCACCATAACTAATCTGTAAGCTCCTTAAAGGTTGGGATGGTACCCAACATATCTATACATCCCATTGATCCCCTAATGTGTTACACATTGTAGAAATTTAAAGTGTGTTTTCTCATGATATGAGTGGCCCATTTTTTTTTCTTTGTAGGTGAAGTTGGAATCCTTTGTAGTGCCCTCCAGAAAATAAAGTGAAACCATGGACAAAACCTGTCAACTGAGAATCTGTTGATAGAAATCTGTTGATGGAAATTTCATTTCATCTGAAAAAGTTTGAAAAGTAAACCTTAATTTGAATTGACAGCCTTAAATCTTTTTTGGAACAAGATGGAGGATGAACAAATAAATCAAAATAACTTGAAATGACAGCATATTAATGCATATCCAAAAGCATAATCTTCTGGGGTCATCTTTGATTTAGAGATGATAATCCCATACTCTCAATTCAGTTAAAGTCAATAATCTGTCACCTTTCATCAACATTAATTAAAATTGGGAACTGATTTACTCAAGCTTCATATATGCTTTTGTTATTGGCCATAGAGAATTCCTAAAGGAATATATATCACTCAATATAAAACACAAGCCTCTTATTAGAATTGAATTTGTTGATTTAATATAAATTTAACTTACAAAAGTCATTTTCTGTTTCAGTAAACTATAATTCTAATTATTGTTGTGTTTTACTCATGTAATTTCCTTTAATTCAAGAGCTCATTAAAATAGTTATAAATATTGAAGTTCATAACATAATATTGAAACACTTCTGTGTATTTTATTATAATCATGAATACTGCCATGGAAGGTAATATAAGTCCTCACCTGACTCCCACAACTTTCAATATCATTTTCCAATTAATTGTCAACTTTTTTGTAGATATTTTGTAGACACATGTGATGCAACAGATGTTAACTGAAGGTTTGGCTGGTAGATATTCAATAAATACTCAGTGAAAGAATAATGGAATATATTATTAAATAGCAAATCCTCAACAAAAGTGAGAATTTTAGTTATGTTTAAAAAAGTCTAGGGGTTAGAAAATTTTATAGTTTCAAATATTTCTTGGAAGGAAATATTCCTCTCCGTTGTCTTAGAAATACATTAGCTGGATAACCTGTGGCATGAAAAAAATGATCAGTCTCAGATTTCCAAACCATCACAGAGTTCACTGTGATAATCTAAGTTATGTCTGGATAGTCAACAGACTTTGATTTCTGTTGGCTGTACACTTTACACAAATGCATGACTATCTGAGAAACAGTAGGAAAAATTACAGCGTCTTTAAAGCTATGCTTTGAAATTTTCACACCACCTTATCATTTTACTTTAGAAGTAGTTAGATCTCAGAGGACTTGCATAGTATTTGTTCATGGGTGATTCTCAGACCAGCTGTATCATCATCAACAATAAATCCTGGGCACATCCCAGCTCTATCCAGCCAAAATATCTGGAGATGGACCACGGAGACCTGCATCTTTCAGTACCTCAGGTGTTTTTTTGTTTTTGCTTTTGTTTTTGTTTTTTAATGCCCAGCCAAGTCTATTGGTGCATTAAGTTTGAGAGAACTTTACTTCTGGTGGCCAGTTCTGCCAATTTCCAATTATGTCACTTTGCATAATTTACTTTGGATCTCAGTTTTACTTGAACCATAAAGGAGTTTAACTGGATGAATCAAGGTTTCTTCCAGCCTTGAAATACAATTCAAATGCTGACATGTGTCTTTAAACCGATGTCCCTGACCCATTAACAGTGTGTAATAATACCAGCCCAACTATGCTACCTGGGTGGAAAGATCAATTTGGTCTGATTGTGTCTGGGATCTCATTGCTTTGAATTTGGGTTTTCATATCTGTATTTATTTCCTCATGCCTCTGAAGAACCCACTGACAAATGCTGATTCTAAAAGTGGAAATGTTCTTTTATCTGTTTCTTAAGACCCCAAACACCTTGCAAAGGGACTATTTTGATAAATATTTCTTTGCTTTATATTAAGTTCTTGATTTTGGAACTAAAATATTTTATAGTATTTTAGACTAGATATTTTATTTTGTAGTGCTTCTTAGTCTTACTGAAAATAATTTAGTGTGTTTGAAATTAAAACTTAGGTTTAGGTTGCAATTTTGCAGAAAAAAATTACATACTGACTAGAAGATAACCTTTGATTTTTAAAGTAATGTGTTACTCAGTACTTAGCTCTTTTTATCTGGATGTAAAAACCCAACCTAGAGCAATTAGAATTGCTAATTCTAGATTCAACATATTTTCATATGTTAGTATTATTATCTGTTTCATATTCAGTAAATGAGCTGTTTTTTTAGAAAAAATAGTAATGCTTTACTGATAACTAGCCAATTGCATCTAAAAAAGAGAAATACATATAAACATTATACATTTTTAGTATTAGTGTTCAATAAGTTTCTAAAAGGATCAATTTAAATTTTAATTCTAGGTTCCTAAATTATATAGCTTAACTGTTTATCAAAGAATTTAACACTAAAATGTCAACTTCATAAAACATGAAGCTTGCCTGTCTTCACCTCTAAAAGCCTTACTATATAGTGCATAGTAGGTGTTTAATAATCTTTAAAAAAATTTCTGAGTGAGGTGAATCATAGAGCATGTAGTGAAGATTGTCTCTCACAAATAAGCTATTTTGAAAGAAAAAGTTGAGAAACAACTAAATTTGCAATTTTCCCTTTTAAATGCTGTAGAACATTTTGCATCTTAATGTAATTTATGATTAAAAAAAGATATTGTGCCTTTAGAATAGATCATGGCTAGGTAATTTGTGTTTATACTGCTTGAACAATAACTGACATATGAAAATGCTTAATAAATGTTTATTAATTAATAAAGGAACAAAATTGCATCAATAAAATGTTTCAGTTATCCATGGTGGGGCTGAAATTATCATAAAGCAATGAGTGATTTGCCTAATGACTGCAAAAAATTATAGAGGAGACAAAATAGGAAAGACTATGAAAATGGACTCTGTAAAGGAAATAGGAAAAAAAATGATCAGAGTTTCTTTCCAGTGGAGTGTGTACCCACCCTACCCCCACCATACACACAAGATCCCTGTCTTTTAATAGCTTTCTTGTGCAGTTTCAAAAACTATAAGCAGTAGTAGACTTGATATATGCTAGTAATGGCTCTAATATTTTTTGTGCTTTGAATTTTCTCATTTATAATCTTAACTTTTAATTCTGCTAGCTCCAAGAAACAGTTTACCTTCTCATGTGTGAATAAATTTAGAGTGGTAAGTAATTGTAGAGAAGATTGAATCTAGCCCTCTAGTGTATACATACAACTCTTCTCTACAATATGATTTATAGTGGTTCAGGGTTGTTCTTCAACAATGCTCCTTTGTATGTTTCTTTCACACTGTTTCTTTTATGAGAACAGTCTTTAAGTAAGAGAACATTCATGGGGGGAAAAGGCAAAAGATGTACCTCCCTGAGTCCTGCGATCGAGCTCCGCATGGGGCTCTGTGCTCAGTTCAGAGTCTGTTTGGGATCCTATCCCTTTTTTTTAGTCCCTCCCCTTGCATGCTCTCTCTCTAAAATAAATAAATAATTTTTGTAAAAAAAGATGTGCCTCCCTGAAAGATGAATGGATTTCTTAAATCTCCAATTTGAAGATGTTACTACAGGGAGCACAACACCTCCTTATTTTCTAGTTTGCCTAAATAGAGAAAAGATAAATGATTATAGCTTGAACCACAGCTTTTTTCTTTTTTCTCAGATCATTCTTTGGAGATAGGTGATGTCTAAAGAAAATAAGCATATCAGTATCCTCTATTGAGTTTATTAAAATTGGTGCATACTTTGGATGTTTATGATTTACTCTTCCTAGAAGTAAATTAAGGAAGATCTACTTAAAAAGAAATATACTTAGTCCTCCCTGACGTCTTTTTATTCCTAAAGTTTCTCAAAGAAGTATCGGCTGCAGCCTGTCCTTTTATGGAATCACCTTGCAAATGGAGAGGGTTGTGACAAAGGGCAGATTTCCACTATTGCTTCTGAGTGGTCAGGGGAGAGTGGAGTTTGGATTTAGAAAAGAGGGATTAGGAATGCAGCTTCATTTGTGTCTTTGAGTTTTTCTCTTATGTCTCTAAAGTGGGGGTATGGGGGGTTTTTATTTTTTTATTTTTATTTATTTATTTATTTATTTTAGAAATCACTCATCCTATCACACCAAACACACACACACACACACACACACACACACACACACACACACACCATCCCTTTGACCACCAAGAAGCCACAAGATGATTTGGAACTGAGCTGAAGACTCCACCAAAATAAGCACAGAGCAGCTGGCCTTTCCCATAAGCCTTTACCCACCCTGTTTGTGGGAGAATATATGTCAAAGCCATTCTTTGGAGGTCTTCAGGGATTGGCACCACCCAGGAGTAGAGAATCAGCCTAGAACAAAGGCATTAATTGCAAAGGGTAACTGTTGGACTATGAAGGCTTTCTATCTCCTCCAGGGTCCTAATACTGCTCTCTGCCATGAGCCCTGAAGCTGTGATGCCTGATGAGCTCCATTTCCTTGGCCTAACAAAAAGTCAGATTTTGGATGAGGAAGGAGAAAACAATCTTTCCAAAAGTATCCATTCCCTGAATGTCCTTGGGAAACTCAGAGAGACAAGAGGCTCTGTGTTGAGTCCCTCTTGGGGGAAAAAAATTGCTTTCTAGAGCAGAGAGCAGTCTGATTAGATTAGATTGAGATTAGAATATAGTGGTTTTATGATGTGAAGTGCCTCATAAGAGAGCATGCTGAGACTGGAGAAGAGTGAGAGGACAGGACTACTCACGCCTTTCAGAGCAGAGTTTCTTAGCACCGTGGGACAGCCAGAAAGGTACCACTGGCATGGAAGGGAGTGGTAAAGTCCCAAAACCTATCCTTTTTGGAACAAAATTCAGGATAGGGTAAGGTACTTAAGACGTTAGTACAGAAGCCAGGAAACACGATTCTGATAATTGTCTCTGCTCACTGCAGACTTTGAATAAATTTTGGCTGTTTGAAATGAAAGGGTGTAATATTTCTCAGTAGTGCTGCTCTGACAATCGTGACTCGAATGCCAGTTTTTCCATCAAGCTGGATCTAGTTGGTCGGACTCTTACTCTCCCTTAGTCTCATTTCCTCCTTTGTAATATAGGGAAGATGCATGCTTACATCATAAGCTTGTCACAAAGATAAAATAGCATTATCATGTGCATGGAAGCCTCTCAATCACTTTCAGCAGTATCTAGCAATTTCAAATGTTTATTATTCTGTTATAAAGCACAAATGAGTTCCCCAAAGAATTGGTTACTATATTTTTGTACATCTTGGTCCAGCAATATGATCTCAGTTGGTTCTTCTTTCCAAAAAATATGGGCAGTTATTGAAGTGCCCTACATAAAGACTCTCTGGCTTCCATTTGAGAAAAGAATTTGACCAAAGCAGAATTTAAACATTTCAACACAGTCCAAATCTATATGTACATATAAATTGATATTGTGAGCAGTAAAATAAGAAATCTGCATCAACTTGAAGCTAAAACTGTATTGCAAAAAAGACAACTCTGGAGATTGAAATGAAAATGTCCTGCTTGAAGCTAAAGGCAATAGAACTTTACTTTCCACTTTCATTTCTGGTATTCAGACACCATTAGGCATTTCCCTTCTTCCAGAGCTATAGTATTACCGGTATAGTTTTAATCACAATGTCAAAAAATCCAGCATTTGCTCTGGTGCTAAAGACACTATTTCT